TTACTTTCTAAATTGTCAATGGTTATTAATTTTTTTAAAATACTTAACCTGTACTTTTAGTTTTTTACTGTTAGATCATTCAGAGAGAAGATTAGGGAGTGCTTTGTGCATGCATGTCTTTTTTTTTAAAGTTTTCTTTTAGGTTGCTGATAGCACCACTTATACATAACTCAATATGTTTAGTTCTGGAGTTTGTCAAGGATGCCAAGAAACTGAGGGGATCCTTTTGTGTTAGGCTATAGTTACATGAACACGTATTTTCAGCAGCAAATTTGGTTCAAAATCAGTTCCTGAATTTCTGCCCCAACTGTTGAATGCCCTTGCTTCTGCTAATGTATTTGGTTTTGTAATCTGTGAACCCAGTTTGCTGAACATAAATCAACAGCAAACATGCACATTTTAATTTCCTTTTAAGATGGATCAATTCACGTACCCAGTTTGCCATCCTTCAGCTAGTTAAACCAATACAAGCAAGGGGTGATGACCTCTGGTTGGAAGGGGGAGCCTCTCACATGGTCTTTGTTGCCAAGAAAGTGTTTGTGTGTATATCTGAGATAAACAAACTAGCTCTATTTTTGCATCTTGCTGCAGCATGTGTCACTGCATCCAAAATAAGTAAACTCTGTCTGGGCTACCTTGGTCTTTCATCTTTCTAGCTGAAATTGTAACAATTCTAATTGTAGTATTTTTGCTTGTTTTATTTTTGTTTGTATTAGTCAATGAAGGGAGATCTTGCCACATGTTTGACCTCTACTGAGATGGAGAAGAAATCCTTTGAATCTCAAAAAAAAAGTCTTGCTGCAGAAAATCAGCACTTAAGAGAATCTCTAGAGAAGGAAGAAAAAGCTTTGGCCTCACTTCAGGAAGAATTAAGGAAGCTAAGACAACAAATTAGAAACTTAGAAGATAAAGGTAGTAGCACTGAGTCTATTGTAATGGAAAATCAGAAACTAAGGGAGCATTTGGAAGAGGAAAAGCAAAGAAACCACAACTTTCTTAGGCAAAAGGAAACACTCTTTGCAGAGGCACAGATGTTAAGGAGAGAACTGGACAAAGAACGGCATGTTACAGAAGCTCTAAAAAAAGAACTGGAACAGTTAAGTTCTCGTCAAACACCTGACAATGCTGATGATGATACGTTAAGAGAAAATCAAGAAATAGAAACTCTGCGAGGAAGACTAGTAGAACTAGAAAAAAAGCTAAACTTTGAGCAACAGCGCTCTGACTTATGGGAGAAGCTGTATGTTGAAGCGAAAGACCAAACTGAAAAACAAGAAATGAATGAAAAGGGACAAAAGAAAGGTGCTAAAGGGCAAAGTAAGACTAAAAAGAAGTCAAAGGAATCATTTTTTGGTTCAGTTAAAGAAACTTTTGATGCTATGAAAAATTCCACAAAAGAGTTCGTAAGACACCATAAAGAAAAGATTAAGCAGGCTAAAGAAGCAGTGAAAGAAAACCTGAAAAAATTCTCTGATTCTGTAAAGTCTACATTCAGACACTTCAAAGATACCACAAAAAACATCTTTGATGAAAAGAAGTCAAATGATAAAAGACATGAGGCAAACAAGAAAGCTCGAACTTTTTACCGAGAACATAACTCTTACGAGAATAAGAAGCACCTGCATTACAGGGGACCTAACATGCCAAAAGAATTCAAAGACAGAAGAAAGCATCAGTCTACAACATTTGAAAAAGATACATATTCACAGAAATGTCTCAATGATCCTTTGTGTAACAGAAAACATCAGTTTGTCCTAAAGGGCTGCTCTGGTATTTTTGAATGTGCTCATCAAGAATTCATTGGTCTCTTTAACAGAGTATCAGACCCTATCAGGGTGGATGAATTTAATCGGCTAATGAAAAAGTACTTGCAACAAGTTGTACATAACTTTCATCATTGGAGAGAACTAGAAAATTTTATCAATAAATTTTTTCATAATGGGGTATTTATACATGACCAGATGCTGTTCACTGATTTTGTTAATGATGTCAAGGATTACCTGGAAGATATGAAGGAATACCAAAATAATAATGAAAAGGTTTTTGAGGATTTGGACAAATACATCTACAGATACTACTTTCATTATGATAATTTACCCCAATATGGACCCAGGTTTGTTTCCATGTTTCCTGAACTTGTTAACACAGTGAAGTAGTCTTTGTAAAGACAACTAGCGTCCTTGTTCTAATAGGTGGTCTTCTAGCGTGTATGTATATGTGCATATACATATATCTACCACAGAAGACTTTCTGAAGGACTCAATGGAAATACTAGATTGTGTTATATAAAGTGGATCTCTAATACCTTATATATAAATTTAGTGGGGGCTCTTAGTTTGTGAGGCATTACAGATCCACTGTACATAGCAAAACTATTATTTCTACTGAGTTCTTTAGAAAACTGTAATTGCAAGTAGGTTTACTTTAGACTGAACAGCTATGATTGCCTATCTGATGGGATGAATAACTAGCTCAGAAGAAGCATTAACTAGGACTTCCTTGTTGTCGTTCCCTGAATGAGAAGGTTTTTGGATATATTTGAGCAGTTTCAAAGTCCCGTTCTGGCAGGTATATTCCCTGCTGGCTTTTCAGGAATTTCACTACTCTTGTAGCTGAGTATAATACTGAGTTAGTCTGGACGCCCAGAGCAGAGCTACTCAAATGGCAGGCTTTAGTTCAGACCCAGACTGTATTTTGTTCAGACTTGCTTACAAAGGTCCTTGGCATGGATTGTTTCCTACGTTACCTTCCTGTATGGAATGGTCAGGGCTTCTACAGAGCAGCCGTGGTATGCTGCCTGGCTGGCCCAATGGAGCTAGATGTGGTGGACTGTGTCTACTGCAGAGACTTTGATGAAAGAAAATTAAGCAAGCAGCCTTAATATATTGTGTGGAACTTGTTCTTTCTAGAACACTTATGTGTATTTTTTTATGTGGCTTTTAATATCATTGCTATTACAAAATTGGCTATATAGTCTCTTGTACTAATCTTTATTCTGATGAGGTAAGAAAAAATGTGATATATGAACTAATTTATAATACACAAGAAGTTGTCCTTGTAGACATAGCAGAACTTTTCCCTGTGCTGGTATTTAGTGCAAAGCATATTTATTATTTAGATCAAGGTGCAGTTCTTCAGTCAGGTTTCTGTTTTGGACTTGTATTGTTTATTATTTCATGTGGTTTATTGCAGCAGGAAGTTTGAATACTTAACTACTTTGGGGTTACTAAAGATTATGTGAGGTAGTACTTTCTCCTGTTAAAAGTTGAACTGTGAGGATGATACTCCTGTTATCAGCTACCAAGTCACCTTTTTAATGTGTAGTTTTGGCAAACACATGACATAAGTTTTATCTTTTTATTTATAGTCCAAGTACTTCTTACTAATTTATTATTAAAATGAAGGTTTTTAAATATTTAATTTTTGAGTACTTTAATTCACTTTGCAGAAAAACAGAATTTCAAATTCCTTTACTGATAGTACTATACAGATGTTTGTATGATACTGACGATGAAAATAGCCTTGCGTCAGTAGGCTAGAGATGCTAGTCATATGATAACAGCATGTAGTATAATGGGACTGTTTGCATCAAAAACTGCAACAGGTGAGCAACAGTGTTTCATCAGTGCCCCCTTTCTCTGTATAAATGTATGCTTTCCTAGGGGTCTGTAAAGTTTTCACTGTTTTTATAGAGCAGAATGTGATAGAATAACTGAAAAATAGATTGAGACCTCACTCAAGGATCACAGTAGGGATAATCAAACAGCTGTTCACCTGGCTTTATTCTAAAAATAACTTCAGGCAACCAGCTGCAGAGCATTTTTATTCTTAGAAAGGATTTATTTCAAATATACCAGCTTACTGGTGATGATAAACCCCACACCCATTTTGCTTATAAGAGGAAGGACTACTTCTGAGTACTAATTTTGTTTTCTTTTCAGTCAACCTCCGCGTGTTAAAAGCTGTTCTTGACAATTTAATTGTGTTTCAAAATGTTTTTAGAGCAATGATTTCATAAGAGTAGTAATAAGCTTTTGTTTACTCCTTGCAGTCGACCTAAAAGGCCTTCTTTTACACAAACTGAAAATTCCAGACATGAAAAACAAGCTCAGAAGTACCACCACCGTAATAAAAGAGAAGGTAAATGGCATAAACATGGTCGCACTAATGGAAGACACATGGCAAATCTTGAAATAGAATTGGGGCAATTACCCTTTGATCCAAAATACTGAGTAATTTATGGTGAAAATAAGATCAGAATTAATAATTCACATCCTCTCCAGAAACTAATTGTTTTTCAGCAAAGCAGCAAGATGCAAGTTTTTTTCTCTAAATAATTTGATTTTTACACATTTTTGTTAAAAGGCAGAAGTCAAGCTTTCTAATTTGCATATTCTGTACTGTTGCTTTAACTGTTCTTTGGAAGTGACGATAGTTTGGGTGCCAGCAGTATTGTTGCAGAAACTAGGCATGTGATGACTTGTGTATGAAAAATATGCTTAATTGCATTCCATTAGCGTAGTTCAAGCTTGAGTCATGCATAATGTACCAATAATTAACTCTGATGTTTGATATACTAACTTCATCTCATCCTTCAAAAAATAGGTCTACATTAAGGTAATGTATTTGTTAGAGTTTTGTAATCTTATACTTGCTTCTTGTCTTTGAGGGGGTTCAAGAGCCTGTTGAATTGTGAAGAATTTGCTGTGCTGCATTCTAATCAGCTTGCTGATTTAAGCACTTGAAATGTCTTGCATATCTGCATATTGTAGAAGAAAAATAAAGAGACATTGTGGATAAAAGTCTTTATTTATAAAACAAACATAGCATAGCTGTACAGTTCTATAAAAATGGTCCAGTCTTGTCTAATTTCTTATTGTTTAAGTAGTCCTATGGTAACTTTGGTCTTCCTGATGTTTCCTAGCATTGTAAGGTAGGTCAACACCCCCACCCTACCATACTGCTACTGAAGCTGCCTTCACGAAGAGACTAATCACACTTCCCCATTTGACTTACCCAGTTTCAGACTCACTACTCTCTCCTTTCTGCAGTACAAGATCTTCTAAGCAGAGTACTGCTATGCAAAACTGATCTCATTAGGTCTTAAGTCTAGAAACTGATCTTCAGGTATGATTCATTTCAGTTTTTTTCCTGTAGACGTAGATGTGGCTTCCAACTCGTCCTTGAGGTACATGAGTGTGAAAGACAGTGGCTGTTTTCTCATAGCCCCTTAAAGCTAGAAATGATGATATTTCCTGTAAATGAACATACATTAGTTTCCACAGTCAGAAAGTATAGTTGGGAGCATCAGAACAGTGTTGCAGTCTCTTCTGAAAACCATCAATTCAACTGTCCCTTGGAAGTTTTATCCTTTATTTTAGGAAAGACTGCTAGAAAAAGAGGTACCTATCCTGTTTGATTCTGTCTGGAGTGGATACTCACCAGACACTGTTGTTTTGAATACATGGACTTCATAAAAGAATTGAGGGCAAAACGTACTCTGACTGCAGGCATTTTTGCTTGGCATTATTGCTTACTTAAAAGTGTATGGTTCTGGGAACAGACCACACATTTGTTTTAATATGGCTTGAGAATTCCATAAAACATTACTTTATGGCATGTAGAATTCACACAGAGGAGAGGGCATACATGAATATTAAGTATGTATCACTGGAATGGTATCTATACTATATTGTGAACTAGAGGGTTCAATTTTAATTTAAGCTGTGTTTTAAAAAGTTGCAGACAACAATTTTCAAAAATCTTAACTATAACTCTCCCCTAATTTATTTTTTAACTTGACCTCAGAACTAGTTTGTTTCATCTTGCAGTTACCATACCTGTTCTAGCACATTGAAGAAGATCAAGTGACTGGGTAATAACGTATCATTGTAAAACTCCTTTTTAAGCCAGCCAAGTGGATTAGAGTAAAATACATCTGCTTCATCAATATAGCTCTCATTTCCAGTTAGGTCTGGGGGACACTGAAGGAATCTCATTTTTAGAGGACAGTGAACGTGACTAGGGAGAGAAACAAAACAAACACTTCAGAATAAACTGACCAATATCAAAGATTTGAAATGACTCATCACTTAAAGATACCTCAGTCAAAACCAAAATTGAATAATTAAGGTTTTTTTTCCCCAGAGTCATATTTTCGTCCCTTCTGTACCTCATATGAAAGCAAAAGTAGAACAAGTAGATTCAGCTCCAAACTGCTGTGACTATGTTGTTAGCAGTTCACAGAAAGCAGATTTATGTTAATAAAAATGCCATCTGTGTAACATCAGTTTCTTAAAAGCTACTTTTCCGTATCGGCTTCACTGTTTATATCTGCTTTAACGTTTTGTTTACTTATCAGGATCTATTGCAAACTATTTGGAATAGCAACCTCAGTCATTGTATGTTGTAATTACATTTCTTTACTGTCTAGCAGCAGAAGTAAAGGTAAAATTAATACAGTTTGACTGTAACAATTAGCCTTTAGTTTTGCTACAGAATGAAGCAAATCATAATGATTTCAATGCTATCATAATGAAGCAGTATGACTTTCAGAAGTCATAAGACTTACTGCATATCCTCATAGAAAGCTGTTTTACAAAATCTGAATAAAGCTTAGATGCTGAATTTTATTCTGTGGTATAAACATTTGGCTTATTTCCCCTATTCATTCTGTGTTAACTGTATGAAAAACCAAAAGTCCCCCTGTATACATTTTATCCATCTCAATTTATTAATCTTAGGGAAAAAAATTAATTTCTGCTTAAGTGTATGGATTTTAATATAGTACACTGTTTAATACCTGTAAAATGGAGTAGAGTGGCACGGCATCATGATGAAGACAAAAGCTTGTGACTGGTAAGAGGTATTACAGAGTTGCTGTATGTGACTCATAACATCAAGAGAGCCTCGCTGGTGAATCAAGCCTGTATACAGGGCTGGGAGTAAGTTTGATAAAAGCAGGAAACTTGCTGCAGATTTCTTCCATGCTTTCAGGTGTTTCAAAGAATATCCTATAGAAATATTTCAGTAAGTTTTGGAGATAAGCAAATACTACCAGTTCCACACCGTATTTTTGAAAGTACGGTAACTTACTGGAAAACCATTACTCAGTTGATAACAATACTGTGCTTTGAGGTATTCTAATACAGTGTTCTTTCAGTCTTTACTCTTTGAATGGAAATTCAAAGGTTAGACTTTGCCCTTATTAACTGTTGGATTTAACAGTGTAAATGTTAAGGCCATACCTGTCTCTTGAACTACAGAAGTACGACTTCAAAGCCAGTGCTTTGTCTCCCTAGAGTTTAATTTTAATTTCTTGTGGGGAAAAATAGTCCATTTGGTAGTTTGGATGAATGATACGTGGCGACTTACTGATGTGTTCCGATTCATGCATGTCCTAGTAGAGCCAGAATAAACGGTAACTACACGTGCTTTGGTATGGCTGTGGTATTCTTTTCTTCCAACATGCTGAAAGCTACAGCATTCCCTTATTGTTACTCATTTTTGAGCCACTATCTTTGGAAACGCTTACTCCTCCATCTTTTCCCATCTCCCATCCCTGCCCCTTTCCCCCCTACTTTTCTTGAAGGAGCTAATAATAGGAAGAGACCTTTCTCCTGGTGGGAGATAGGTGTATAAACCTATTTCTCACAACCACAACTTAGATGAACCTGGCACAGAAGACAGCTTCATGTTGCAACCAGTCTGGAAACCCTTATTAAGTCATGTGCTTGTCAGTCTTAGGAGATAAAAATATTTTACACAGCCTAGCTCTGTGACCACCTTTATTGAACCAGAAGAAACAAGTTAGAATAGGCCCGTTTCAGAAGTCAGTAACAAGTAAGTTAAATTCATCTTCAGTTGGTCTGTTCTGACAAATTGCAGATCTTTCAGATGAAAGCAGTCCACTAATTACTCTGTGGTTTAAACACGAGTGGAAACATTCTATTATAGGCATTTTCTACTGCTTTTGTGAAATGCTCTTAGCTTATCTTTAAGTGTGCTTGAAAATGACTTTGAAATTCATGTGGTTTTTTTCTTGCTTTTATTTATAATGTTTTGAGCAATTTAAAGACCTCTTTGTAACCACTGAGTTATCAGAAGTAACTTTTGTCATGTTTTTCTTTACTAAAATATCCAAACAGAAGATAATTAGCTCTTGATAAATTGCGTAGATGACCTCATTCCCTTATAGACATGAAAGTTAAGAGGGATATGAACAAAAAACAGTGATCTGATTGGAATTTTTCTGCATGTGAGGTAGAACTGGTTCATCTTAAATCTGCTGTTGAACTAAGCCAAGACATATTACATATTTGATCTCAGCGGAGAGCAAAATTATTGAAATAAGATGCACTTTTGTTTAGACTAGCAAAACAGATGAATCAATGAAAATTGTCATTTTCTTTAACCTGTTTTGAACTTGTATTTAAACTAAAGCTATACAGCTTCATGTTCCAGAAGTTTTAATCTTTCTTTTGTAACTTTTCAGCATACTAGATTTTACATCATGTTTTTACTTTTCCTATAGATGCACTACTGTAGTTAATACCTAGTTTTGTAAAATATAAAATACTTCCTTATTAGGCTCTTTTTTGTTCCTAAAAAAAAAAAAAAGCACAAAACAGGAAAAAAGTGAATACTTTAAAAGTTTCTGTTAAAGTATCAGAAAAATCTTCATTAGCAAAAGCAATACGCTTTCCAGTTTAAACTGTGGACAGATTCTCTTTAATTTTTAAGTTAACCACATTAGTTTAGGGACCTTATTCCTGTTTTAAGAAATTCACATTGCTATGCCTGAAGGAAAAAGCGATCACATTAACTGCTCTAAAACTTCTATAGGAAGTAGCCTCCAGCTGGTGGTTGGTCAAGAGCAGACAGAAGACTCGCATCATCTACTAACACACCTCAGTCCTCAGAAAAGGATAATTGAATACTTTTTTTTTTGTTGTTGTTGCATAGTCAAAGGCATTTGTCAGACATACTTGAGAGAACTAGGTGGAAAAATACAAAGGAGCCAAGGAACAAAATTCACTGTAAGGGTGGCATCGCAAAACAGTTAGGAGTCACTGAGGCAATTTCCCTATTTTTTGCAGGAAGTATTTTTGTCCATGCTAAGGATTCTCCATCTGTGTTTCAGTCACTCGCTGTTCCTCATCTTTTTTTTTTTTCCTTCCCTTTTTTTTCCTAGCTGTAAGAAAAGGTTAGGCTAGTTCTAAGAATCCTTTGTCAAATACCTACATTGACTATTAACAGTCTCTCTTTAGGTAAAAATTATACACAGGGAAGGTTGCAAGACATCTGAAACGAATGCTTACCACAAAAAAACATGCAAAATGGCAGTACCGGATAGATGAACCTGAATTCTTTATGGCTCAGCATGCTGTAATAAAACAGATATAATAATACAGCGAGAAAATTAAATGCATCAGTTCTCTTGAGAAAATGCGTTTTTGAGCTTGGAGGACTGGAAGAAAAGCACTTGCATGTACTAAAAAGCTTTTGGCATCAAAGCAGTTTAGAGTAAAAGTCCAAATTGTTACTTTTTAATAACATAATGAGTACATTCAAATTAAGATTATTTGGTCAGTTTAAACCAAGCACTAATAAAAGTACCTGGCTACTAATCTAGCAATTAAGTGGTCTATTTATTTCTATCACTACTAGATATAACTTAGCTAGTACTTCACCAATTTGCTTTCTGTAATAGAACACAGTAAAAAGCGTGGATGAGAAGCTATAAGATTCAAGTACACATTTGTGTCTAACAAAGTAACGTTCACCTCTGCTGCTGCAACTTTATACAATTTCCCATGCCAACTTTTGGGGCTTTTTTGGGGATTGCTGCAAGACTTGTGTCATGGGAACCAAGCAGCTTCTTACAAGACTAAGGGAGATAAAAAAGGCCTAAAATCAAGAGAGCTACAGCCAGTTTTGAGTTAGACTGAAAGAAGAGATGGCATTTGTGGCCTCGCTACTGTTTCGCTGTATTCCGTTACTACTGTAGTCTAACGCTATTTATTACTTAGTATTTATTAATTTGCTCTAACTTTTCTTGTCTGAAAGTGTCTCTTGTTTAATCTACAGTTAATTCTGATGCTTTAGAAACAGCTTACCTTTTCTTCTACTTCTCAACTTAAAATAAGACATACAGTCCTATGATAAATGTTAAGAGCTATGTGTAGACTTGTGAATGGAGTAAGTTTTAGAGGCCCAAGAACATCTCATCCTACTGGGGATGTATTAAAGAACCAAATTAAATGGTGTTTATGTTAACAGGCATCTAGTAAACACAGTTTTCCAACTAGCTCTATTGTTGCTTAAATACCTGTTAGGTGACTGAGTGTTTTTTGTCTTTTTTTTTAACTTTCCATTGAATTTAATGCTGAATTATTTTATTCTTTAAGGGTCTAATAAATTCTAAAAATATGTTTGGTAATGATACAAGAAGTAGTATTACATAAAATTCTAGAAACTATTGTATAATTGACTGCGTTTCTTGGAGTGTTTGAGTAGTTTAAAGTTTTCTATCACTTAACCTGCATATTATGCTTTTTTTGTTCTAGAGAGGACATGAGCTTTGAGAAGAACAAAACCAGTGAAAGATAGTAGTTACACTTAGGAGAAATTACCTGTATACCAACACTGTCCAAATCACTGCCATTAGAAAGATGTGATACCTTTTTGGTGCCAGCACACAGCCATGAATAAAGAAAGGCAGATGGGTACCCAAGATGACTGGTAGTCCCTGAGTGAAGTACCAATGCCAAGGATGAGATCCGTAAAATGTTCCCAAGTTCTGCAGCACGTTGAATTTCAAGAAGTTCAGCTGAACCAGTACCCACTGGAAGATTTAGGGGGGGTGGGGGGCTGAAGTTAAATACAAATCCAAAGTGAAAACCAACAGCTAAATTGAATTACAGTCATCACTGGCCTTAAATGATACAGCATTTTCATTCGTACTTACGGGTTTTTTCTATTAAGACTCGTCACAGACTTCCTATATTTAGCAATGAAACACAGAAGTGTGTTAAGTTTTGTAGTTTGTTGATAACTATTGATTTATAGCTGAGCATACTGATCTTAAGTAACACCCTGACATTTAAAATAACTGAGAAGTCAGTGTTTAAGGTTTTATGGCTTAGGATATATTTAGAGATCATAGGCCAGACACAGTCACAGAAATAACAGAAGTTAGACAAGTCTACATCTGTCTATTTTAAAATACTAAACCAAATTTTTTTCTAAGTCAAATTTAAAACAACTTACCTCACCAAAAAACACACGGTCAATTATTAAAGAGGTTCCTACTGTGACCAATCTGCAAAAATGGAAAGTTGGTTGCACTGATATTGCCTGAATTGCTTTTGTACCAGATTCTACTCTTTTCCAAACAGCTGTCAAAATTCCTTGATTCCTAATCTTTTTTGAGATTATCCATACTCATGGTCTTTTTACAGTGGCCAGTTGCCATCACCTGGTATCCTTGGCACAATCCCAGATTAAGCTGGAATGCTGTTCATGCCTCATCCTCATGAAATCTCTCCTAGTGCTTTTTTGCAGCATATACATTAATTTAAAGGAAGCATGCCCCTTCTTTAAACTTTTGCAAAAAGACTGGTTTTTTTTTCCTTGCTTTTTACATGAAATCAGCTTTTTTGGGTTGTCTGCCTTTGTGGTGGTAAAATCAATCTTAAGATATAGCTGTGCACAGTCATAGTTTAAATTCAGAAAGAACTTACCCAACTGGAATGCAGTTGTGTAGGATAAGGTCTGCTTTCCTCTGTTCTTGCAAAAAATGACTGAAGACCAAAGGTATCCATGGGATAACAGCGGTGGGACGAATAACAATTGCAAGTGCTATCAAAGCTAAATATTTGCAACTAGAATGAGGGAACATAAGAAAAACAAAAGTTTATCAAAAGGTTTAGTCAGTTCTTTTGCAGACAGTGACATGTCAACAATTTAAATACTGTCATGTCTCTGACCAAAAGTTTTTCATACTGCAGATAACTTTGATTCTCTCAGTGCAGATACTCTGCTTTACTTGGAAGGCTGACGACTATGTAATTGCTTTATTAGCAATGGAGTTGTTAACTAGAAGCACATACTTGCTTTAAAATAGATAGCTGGTAAAGAAAGTCGTGACCACAAATTAACTGGTATCTGAACCCAAACAAGCTTTTGTTATCTTTTCCCAAGTTACCACAAATTCCAGTCCTTTCAAGTTTAAATTAGTTTCCCATAAAGTGATACTTTGCATAAGGGAACTAGAGAGTAGTAATTTTATATACCAACTGTATCACGGCTTCAGAAAAAAAATTTAAAGGAAATACCACAATTGCTGTTCTTTCCATGATCTAGAGCTCTTGCTACATGAATGAGGTGGTTTTGGTTGTCTTATATTTTAAGATAAAAGTTAGCATTTTAAACAGTATCAGTAGATCAGTGTTATCCCAAGCCAAAAATTATCAGTACTGTTAGTAGAAAGTTTCTCACCTGCTTCCCATCTTGGAACCTTTTATCGGATAGTAGGAAAGAGCAAAAATGGTAAGAAGAGTTTCCATGGTGTTTGTTAGAGTTCTGGTACAGGAATACCATGTAAACCAGGAACACAGCTGGCAGAAGTACTGAAAATTATGAACAACAGGATGCACAGGGAGAAACATGAAAACAAATTCTGTAGTTTTAAATGAAGGTGATAATTCTTCAAGGTGTGAGTTACCATTTTGCTGTTGTTTACACTGCAACACTGTTTATTAACATGCATAAATTTTTTTTATAGGCTAAGACTCACCACGCACTTTGCTGTTTCTGCATTTTCAAGGTGTCGCACTAAGGAGTAAAGCTTCACATCAGCAAAAGCTGCCAGCACTGCCTGTGCAAGTCTAGGGACCCATATCTATGTAAGCAGAGAGAAAATTTTATTTGCAACAAACATGTTATATTCCAAGTTCAAAGAGAGGACTACTGAATTAGTGAGTTCAGACATGAAAATAGTGAATTAGTGAATATTCTCTATAGCTTTTTATGATTTGTTTAAAAAGACCAGTAAGGTCCTTTGGTAAGACGAAGAAAGTCTAAAGTTCAATTGAAAGTGTTCAGAAATTGAAAGTAGAATTCTTTGCCATTCATCTCCAGTAGAGGTCAAAAGGGGCTGTTGTTACTGAGTTTAGTACAAATACATATTATTAAACACTCTGGAAAACTGAACCACTGAGCAATTATGATGTAGTGGCAAACAATATCACTATGAAACAGAAGGGGATTGATGGAGGCCAAGAATAATCCTCTGCAGTCACAGGCATCAGTACTGTGACTGGAGATCTACAAATGAGTTCTGCACCCAGGCGAAACACTTCAGTGAGGTCTCTGTGCTCATACATCTCTAATGGCCAGATTCAAGGCTTTGTATTTTACCTGGACAATGATAAAAATACACTGAATTTAAATACAATGCTTTTAAATTGGGTTTTAGTAGGGGATGCGTTTTCTGATTACACTCACCAGCAGCTGAACGTCGTCCTTAGCCAGCAGCTGTAAAGCTTTGTAGATGCTTGCAAAGATCAGGGGGTACGAATAACCCCTTAAGCCATTTGCCCATTCCCAAGTCAGGTACCCATAATTATTAATATTAAGGACAGATCATGAACAACTGAAACAAAAAGTTTCATTCCAGCTGTGATACTCTCAGACTTGTCTGGGCCGAGACCACTACCCTCGCGGCCAAAAGCAGCGGGATGCCTGTTTCTGGCCAAGCCAGCGCTGAAAGCCTCTTCCCGAGCGCTCCTCCCGCGAAGCTCGGGGAGCGGGGCCGTGCCCCCTCCGGCCCGCAGAGCCATGGCGATGGGGGGGGAGCGAGGACCGGCGGAAGGCCGGCACCGCGAAGGATATTTGAAGACCATGCGATGGGCCACCTCCAGCGACTGCCAGTACTCGTCCGGGACGAAGCTGGTCTGGACGAGGAAGCAGTTGAGCGTCCGCAGCGCCACCGTCAGCGCCAGCAC